AATTACTTTAAAACACTTGAAATTTTGGAAAGTTTCACGACCTAATAGAGAGATGAGCTCATGGAGAATGTAAACAAACTAGGTGGGGTGCTCTGTATTTGAAAGACCGCTCGCCGTATAGCAAATTTTGGTCATAATTTGAAATTGCCGTATTAGCGGAATGCCGTAAGGTGAAACACTGTGAAGTGGGGGCCCTGCTGCATCTGAATCTTTTTATCAATAGGTTGTATCTATAAATTCAATAGCCAAGAGTCTGAATGTTGAAGGCATTGATACTTATGCTTTCAGCCATAACAGAAGAATCACACTGCTTATAGCTTTACAGTTATCCTGAACCTCTCATTTGAGATCAGAATAAATGTACGTATTATGTACGAAAGAAAGGAAACAGGTAGCTTATGAGAGGTTTTTACAAAGCTGAAGTGTTACAAGAAGAGCAGAGTATAGGGAGAGTAAAAGAATGGTGAAGAGAGTGGTGAGAGAGTGCAAAATGAGAGCAGATGATAGAGTGAGAGAGGCACTGTCAAGAAATTTTGCTGAAGATAAGAAAAAATTTTGGAATGAGATAAACAAGTTAGGAAAGCCTAGGTAATGAATGGATTTGTAAGTCAAAAACAGAGTAGGGGAGTTAGTAAATGGGGAGCTGGAAGTATTGGGCAGATGGCAGGAATATTTTGAGGACCTTTTTAAATGTCGATGAAGAATGGGAAGCAGTAATTTCATGAACTGGCCAGGGAGGTATAGCATCTTTTAGGAGTGAAGAAGAGCAGGATGTGAGTGGAGGAGGTGAGTGAGGCATTACGTAGAATGAAAGGGGGTAAAGCAGCTGGAACTGATGGAATCATGACAGAAATGTTAAAAGCAAGGGGGGATATAGTGTTGGGAGTGGTTGGTATTTTTGTTTAATAAAAAAATGTATGAAAGAGGGGAAAGTACCTAGGGATTGACAGAGAGCATGTATAATTCCTTTATATAAAGGGAAGGGGGACAAAAGAGATTGTAAAAATTATAGGGTAATAAGTTTACTGAGTATACCAGGTAAAGTGTATGGTAGGGTTATTATTGCAAGAATTAGAGGTAAGACAGAGAGTAGGATTGCAGATGAGCAAGGAGGCTTTTAGAGTGGGTAAGGGATGTGTAGATAAAGTGTTTACATTGAAGCATATATGCGAACATTGTTTAGATAAAGGTAGGGAAGTTTTCATTGCATTTATGGATTTAGAAAAGGTATATATATATATTACTAAATGTAAAAGGAGAAACTTTCGTTTTTCCTTTTGGGCCACCCCGCCTCAGTGGGATATGGCCGGTTTGTTGAAAGAAGAAGATATGATAGTGGATAGGGGAGCAATGTGGCAGATGTTGCAAGTGTTTGGAATAAGTAGTAAGTTACTAAATGCTGTAAAAAGTTTTTATGAGGATATTGAGGCTCAGGTTAGGGTGTGTAGGAGAGAGGGAGATTACTTCCAGGTAAAAGTAGGTCTTAGACAGGGATGTGTAATGTCACCATGATTGTTTAGTATTTTTATTGATGGGATTGTAAAAGAAGTAAATGCTAGGGCATTCCACAAGGATCAGTTTTAGGCCCTCTCTTGTTCATAATTTACATTAATGGCCTTGTTGAAGGGATTGCGTGACATGAGTAAATTTGCTGATGATACAAAGATAGGCTGTATAATACATTCTGAGGAGGATAACAATGAACTCCAGGAGGATTTGGACAAATTAATATCTTTGTCTGAAAAATGGCAGATGAAATTCAATGTGGATAAGTGTAAGGTTTTAGTCCCTGGTAATGACAATAGAGCTTGATCATACAGAATGTGAAAAAGACTTGGGAGTCATGGTAAGCAGAAATCTAAAGCCAAGACAGCAGTGCCTTAGTGTGCACAACAAGGCTAACAGATTACTAGGACTTATCTCTAGAAGTATAAATAACAGAAGTTCAAAAGTTATTTTACAGCTCTACACCACTAGTGAGGCCTCATTTGGATTATGCCACTCAGTTTTGGTCTCCTTACTACAGGATGGATATAGACTCATTGGAGAACATACAGAGAAGAATGACTAAAATGATTTACTGTGTAAGGAATCTCCCGTATGAAGATAGACTTAAAGCCTTAAATCTCCACTCTATAGAGTGACATAGAATTAGGGTAGATATCATTGAAGTGTATAAGTGGATGATGGGCATATACAAAGGAGATATTAATAAAGTACTGAGAGTGTCAAACCAGGTAAGAACCAGAAATAATGGATTTAAGTTGGATAAATTTAGATTTAGAAAGGACATAGGTAAGTATTAGTTTTCAAACGGAGTTGTGGATGCGTGGAACAATTTTCCCAGTAGGGTGATCGAGGTTAGGAGCTAGGGGCTGGGTTTGATTTGTGTCATTGGGTACGTGAGTAAATTCTTGGGTAGCTTTGGGTAGAGGTCATTTTGATAAGGACCTGCCTTGTATGGACCAGTAGGCCTTCTGCAGTGTTCCTCCATTCTTATGTTCTTATAAAGAAAAATTGGATATTACATTGGAGAGAGGGAGTTGGAAGAAGTGAATGTTTTCAGATATTTGGGAGTTGACTTGTCAGTGGATGAGTTTATGAAGGATGAGATTAACCATAGAATTGATGCAGTAAAAATGGTGAGTGGTGCACTGAGGTATCTGTGGAGACAAAGAAGGGAATGTACGAAAGTATATTGGTACTAACACACTTATATCGGTGTGAAGCTTGGGTTGTAAATGCTACAGCAAGGAGATGGCTGGAGGCAGTGGAGATGTCCTATCTAAGGGCAGTGTGTGGTGTAAATATTGTGCAGAGAATTTGGAGTGTGGAAATTAGGAGGTGGTGTGGAGTTACTAAAAGTATTAGTCATAGGGCTGAAGAGGGGTTGTAGAGGTGGTTTGGTCATTTAGAGAGAATGGATCAAAGTAGAATGACATGGAGAGTGTATAAATCTGTAGGGGAAGGAAGGCGGGGTAGGGGTCGTCCTCGACAAGGTTGGAGGGAGAGGGTAAAGAAGGTTTTGTGGGCGAGGGGCTTGGACTCTCAGCAAGCATGCATGAGCGTGTTAGATAGGAGCGAATGGAAACGAATGGTTTTGGGGACCTGACAAGCTGTTGGAGTGTGAGCATGTTAATATTTTGTGAAGGGATTCAGGGAAACCGGTTAGCCGGACTTGAACCCTGGGACTGGGAATTACAATGCCTCCACTTTAACCCATAAACGGTCCAAACGTATACATATTCGTTCACTATCCCAGTGCCCTGAATATTTTGAAAAAAAAAAAAAAAAAAAAAAAAAAAAATCTGTTTTTGAAAATAAAGAGCACATTTTTCTAAGTGTTATAGGATAAAAAAAAATTAGGGTCAGTACTTAGAGATATTAGGCCAAGAAGTTGGCACTGAATGCTCACATGACTGCAACATCAAGTCCTGCCGCTTGCAAAAGTGTTGCCGATATACCTTTTTTCTATTTTTCATATTATTTTATATAATTTTTATGTTCTGATAATTACAATTTATAGCAGTTCTTGTTATTTCATAACCAATCTTTGTTCTAACACTAGTATTAGGTACTGAAATTGTACTCAAATTGTCACAAACACATTGACAGGTGGACATTTACACCTGCCTTGGTCATTTACTATTGTCTTGGAATATGTACAAAGTATTTATAGGTCCCAGCAATATTTTGGATGTGGAAGTATATAATAATAATAATAATAATAGTAATATGTAATAATAAATTCCCTTGAAGCATGTAAAACAAGCCTCAGTCCACCCCTGACAGTGAAGTGATAAGATGAGATAACATTAGATAAGAGTTGACATTTGATGAGCATCGGCCCTTACTGTGTTTTGCTGGTACACAAACATGTCTGTCTGTCTATTTGTCTATCAAGCTCCCTGTCTGTCTATCCGTCTAGCTCTCTGTCTCAGAGAGAGCCACAAGACTGCGTCATCATGTTTACTCGTAGCTTCAAGCAGAGTATAGCACTGTCTGGATTTTTTGGGGTTATCCTAGGTAATTTACACTATGTATACTTGTATTTATGTGTACCTGTGAGACAGAGATAGACAGACACAGATAGAGAGAGACAGAGACTGGGACAGACAGACAGACTGGGACAGAGACACAGAGACACAGACAGACAACGGAGCCAGGCTGCCAGCAGCCGGCCAGCCAGCCAGTCTGCCTGCTCAACAAGTATTACTTTCCAGAATTCTTTCTCTTTACTTAGGGCATAGGTTATTAGACATTCTGAAAGGGTTTTGCACAAATGTTGCATATGGTTATTATCAAGGTTTTTTGATATTTCGTCGATCACTTATGGCCACATCCACCTCAAAGCCACTAAACTCGGGGTCAACATCACATTTCTCCTTAAATGGGAGAGCTAATACTACATGAAATCAGTGAATCCCAGGTGTTTGCCATGCTGTTTGCTCTAGCTGGCACTCATTTGAACTAGTGCTCCCACAAGGTATTAAGTGGTCCCAGATATTTTTAATACAGTGCGCACTGAGTGTTATGACCCATTCTATGCTGACAAGGCATCTCGGGCCAATCGTGCCATATTTGAAGGCAGGAAAAATAAAACGTTTGTATATGCTTGGGGCACTAGCGGTAAGAACATATATATACGTTTGGACCATTTACGGGTTAAAGGAGGGGTTTGGGATATTGGCAGTTTGGAGGGACTTCTAATCTATCGTATCTGAGCGCCTCTGCAAAGACTGATTTTGTGTGAGTGAGGTGAAATTGTTGAATGATGATGAAAGTATTTTCTTTCTGTTTGGGGATTTTTCTTTCTTTTTGGGTCACCCTGCCTTGGTGGGAGACAGCCAACAGGTTAAAAAAAAAAAAAAAAGTTTTTGCTGCATATTATTAATAAGGCCAAGGTGAATATTTTCATGGCTTGCATATTCGTATAATGTCATGTAATTATTGTTCTTATAGCTCATCATCAGTTATTATTACTTAATATTAATTTTCAGGTGAAATTTAGCGAGTTGACAATTGACATGTTTAGAATGCTGCAAACATTAGAGCGAGAACCTCAGGAAGACGTAGCTCAGATATACGATGCTTCACCAGCACCCAACAAAATACCTTTTGTAAGTATTTCTCTTTATAGATTTTTTTGTCTGCATTCTTATTTAGTAATGCAATGTTTTTCTCTTACATTTTAGAAAATAGTGCAAAAAAACAAAAATAAATAAAATGATGGATATCACCAGGAACTTTTGCTGAGAACAAGAAGCCATTTTTGGGAGAAATACTGTAAGGTGAGAAAGCCTGGGAAGTAAATGTGCTTGGCATTGAAGAATGAAAGTAGTGAAGTGTTTAATGGGAAGGTGGAGGTATCAGAGTGATAATTTCCAGTAGCTAAATATTGTTGAATAGTTTATTTCATGCCTGGGGCAGGGAAGATTTATTAGGAGGGAGAAGGAGCCAGAGGTGAGTGTGAAAGGAGTGTGCCAGGTAGTGGGTAGGTTTGAAAGTGGTAGTAATGGTATTGTAATTGTCCTTTTAAAAAATATACAAAGTTGTAAGAAACCACTTGAGAGGAGACTGCTTGAGAAGTGTTGACTGTTCATCCTAAAGATGCAGCCTTGCTCAAGTAGCATAAACTACTGTTGCTTTCAACCCCAAGTTAACTGGATAAGTGCCTAGGCTTCATTTGGAAATGGCAACCACTTTTCTTTTTATTTATCACATTGTAACATAAAAACTTGACGAATATTAGTGCACTTAGTTGTTATATTTCACTTGTGCAGTAAAACTGCATGTCAGTTGTCATATTTTAGGCAGTATATTTTTTTAATACATAAAATTTTTATGCTTGACTCCCACAGTAGGTGGTGATTGAGCACTTTACAAACAGCATGCTTAATTTATTTATAGATTACTGAATGCTCTTTAACCATGCAAGTTGCATTTTGGAATTGGTTGTTAAAAGTTGTTGAACATCCTGGCTGGGATTGTAAAAAGTTAATGCTAGGGTGTTGGAAAGAGGTGTGGGATTAAAAAGGTAATGAATCTGATGCAAAGTGGGAGCTGTCACAGTTGCTCTTTGCTGATGATACAGTTGTTTTGGGAGATATGAAGACAAGTTGCAGAAATTAGTGAATGAATTTGGGAGGGTATGTGTAAAATGAAGGAAATTAAAAGTGAACATAGAAAAGATCCGTGATGAGAGACAAAAGTGTAGGAAATGAAAGATTTGATATCAGATTAGGTAGGAGTATGGAGGAAGTGAATGTATTTAGATACGGTGGACCCTCGGGTAATGATGTCGTCGGTTAATGAAAAAATCAGATAGCAACATGTTTTTGCGTCAAAATATTGACTCGGCTAATGCCCAAGAACTTTGTTAAGGACATTGGTCCTGAATGTGTCAGTGTGCTCTAAGTGGGCCTGGCCACTCCATGTACAGCTAGTGTGCCACTGTTTACAAGCCAGGGAGAACGATTCCACGCGTACATGCGATATATTTTGTATCATTCCATTGTTTTTAGTGCTTGTAACTGCTAAATAAGCCACCATGGGCCCAAAGAAAGCTTCTAGTGCCAGCCCTGTGGTAAAGAAGGTGAGAAACACTATTGAATTGAAAGAGATCATCGCAAAATACGAAAGTGGAGTACGTGTCTCCAAGCTGGCCAGGTTGTACAACAAACCCCATTCAACCATCGTTACTATCTTGGCCAACAAAAAGGCAATCAAAGAAGCTGTTGTTGCGAAACGTGCAAGTATGCTTACGTAACAGAGATCGCAAACACTCGAAGATGTGGAAAGACTGCTGTTGGTGTGGATCAACGAGAAACAATTATCAGGAGATAATGTTTCTCAGTCAATAATATGTGAAAAGGCAAGGCAGTTGCATGGTGATCTAATTAGTCCTTAAACTGTCCAAACGAGATTTACGTTCACATGTGTAGCACTCCGAACATAGATCTACTTTTTTTTTTACATGCTTTCAAATGGAGAAAATAAAGGTCGGAGCACTACACACGTGAACGTAGATCTGTTTGGACAGTTTAAGGATTAAGAAAATGCCTCCAAATAGTGCTGATGTTAGTGAATTTAAGGCCAGCAGAGGTTAGTTTGTGAGATTTAAGAATCATAGTGGCATACACAGTGTGGCAAGGCATGGTGAGGCTCCCAGTTCTGACAAAAAAGCAGCTGAAAAATATGTGCAGGACTTTAAGGGGTACATAGAGGCTGAACAATTAAAGCCCCAACAAATGTTCAGTTGTGACGAAACAGGCCTGTTTTGGAAGAAAATGCCCAACAGGACCTACATTACTCAGGAGGAAAAGGCACTCCCAGGACACAAGCCTGTGAAAGACAGGGTAACTCTCATGTTTTGTAGTAATGCTAGTGGGGACTGCAAAGTGAAGCCTTTACTCGTGTATCACTCTGAAACTCCCAGAGTGTTCAAGAAAAACAATGTCATCAAGCCTAAATTGTGTGTGATATGGAGAGCAAACAGTAAGGCATGGGTCACTAGGGACATTTTCTTTGATTGGTTCCATGACGTGTTTGGCCCCACTATGAAAAAATACCTCCTAGAAAATAAATTGTCACTCGAGTGCCTCCTGGTAATGGACAGTGCTCCTGCTCATCCTCCTGACCTGGATGAGCGAATTGTGGGGGAGTTTAGCTTCATCAAAGTGAAGTTTTTTGCCTCCTGATACCACTCCTCTCCTCCAGCCCATGGACCAGACATAATGGAGAGTTGTACTCACGGAGAATGTAAACAAATCATGTGGCCCGCAGTGACCATATTAGAAAGTCAGGTGGGGGGAGCCGTATAGAGAGTTTTGGTCATACTTTGAAATGTCCTTATTAGCGGAACACCGTAAAGCGGGGCCCTACTGTAATAACTCTTCCAAACATTATACCTGGTATACTGAACTGGCTTATTTCCCTACAATTCCTACTTCCCTTTGTCCTCTTTATACGAAGAGACAGTGCATGCTCTCTGCCAAAAACCTAGGTACCTTTCTCTCTCTCATGCATTTATTGAAAAAAAAAAAGTACCAACTGATACAAAAGTATATCCCCACCTACTTTTAACATTTCTGTCTTGATCTCACTGCCTCGTGCACCTTCCCCACTATTTAGCGCACTTCCTCACACTTGCATCTGGCTCTTCCTCACTCCTGAAAGATGTTATACCTCTGGCCAGTGCATGAAATTACTGTCTCTCTCCAGCATTTAACAGTTCATATGATTCCCTCCATCTTCCCATTACCTCCACCTCCTCATCTAATAATGCCCCTCTTCTGTTTTGACGAGTTTAATTCATTCATTCCCTATGCCTTTTCAACCTGTTAGTCTCACTCCAAAACATTTTCTTATTCTCAGGAAATTTTTTTGATAGACCATCAACTACTCTCTCATTTGCTCTCCTTTTGCACTCCCTTACCACTCTTAACCTCTCTTACTCTCCATGTACTCCCTCCTTTTATCAATTTACCTTGTGAAAACCTCTCGTATGTTAATCTTTTTCTCTTACCACTGTTTACCTCATCATTCCACCAATTGCTACTCTTCTCTCCTGCACCCACCCTCCTTTATCTACACATTTATCTGCACACATTGACACTGCATTCTTAAATCTACCTCGTACCTCCTTGAATCTCTTTACCTATACACTTACTAGCCCATCTTTCTCCCATCAGTTGCTTATATCTCCCCTTTAACTACCGGCCTCCTTTAATTTATAAACTTTCATTTTGTTTACCTCGCTGATGAAATCTTGTACCCCATCTACCTCTTATTCTCACTGCAGCTACAACTAAGTATTATTTTTATTTTTTATTAACACATCAGCCATTTCCCACCAATGCAGGGTGGCCCGAAAAGAAAAACTTCCATAATCATTTACTCCATCACTGTCTTGCTAGAGGCGCACTTACACTACAGTTATAAAACTGCATCATTGACACCCCTCCTTCAGAGTTCTGGCACTGTACTTCTCATCTCCAGGAATCTAGTCCAGCCTGCCAGTTTCCCTGAATCCTTTCATAAGTGTTACCTTGCTAATACTGCAGCAGCATGTCAAAACCTAAAAACCCCTTTGTTTCAGTTTGCTCCTGTCTAACACACTCATTTCACGCTTGCTGGAGTCCAAGCCCCTCACACACAAAACTCCTTTACCCCCTCCCTCCCCAACCTTTCCAAGGCCAACCTCTACCCCTCCTTCCCTCCATTACAGATTTATACACTCTCAAAGTCATTCTATTTTGTTCCATTCTCTCTACATGTCCAAACCATCTCAATAACCCCTCCTCAGCTCTCTGGATAATAGTTTTGGTAATCCTGCACCTCTTCCTAATCTCCAAACTACGGATTCTCTGCATTATATTCACATCACACATTGCCCTCGGACAACATCTCCACTGCCTCCAGCCTTCTTGTTGCAACATTCACCACCCATGCCTCACACCCATACAAGAGGGTTGGTATAACTATACTCTCATACATTCCCCTCTTTGCTTTAATGGATAAAGTTCTTTGTCTCCACAACTTCTCAGTGCACTAAATAATAATCTGATATATCTGTTGTCCCTCTTAAAACTTGCACATCCAGAAGTCTACAATAAGTCTTTTATCCACCAATACATAGTCAAACTGCTGTCATTACTCTCTTTTTATCATATCTCATGTATTTACAGTATCCTCTTTCAGAATACGTCTACACTTGCATCTACATGTGCATGCACAAAATCGCATTTATAAAATCAAACTAGGTGTGTCAGTGTGCAATCAAAGACGGGTGTCCCCATATACAGTAATCCAGTCCCTTGTTCAGTGAAACATTCATTTAAGACTAATGGAGGGAAAGGATATCTAACAATGCTGAATGTCCCTTAAATACAGGTGATGAGATAGTTTTTTTTGTGATCATAACAATAGTGAACAGTCTTGGATTTAATGGTGCTGTATGACCCTTGCCGGTTTAGTGCTTTCTTTTATTATAATAATAATAATAATTTGGATTTAATGGACTTGTCCATTGAATCTAAAATCTGTTAAATCAAGGTTTTACTCTACATCAGTGCATGCAAGAAGCATGCTGGAGGAGCTGTACCTCAGTACCCTCTAG